GGACCCTCGGAACTGGATTCAGAGGCCCTTGCAGTGCCTGCCTTCCGTCTTATCCCTTGACAAATCCGTCTCTTTTTCTGTAGATGTTAGTCTGCCCTTTTTAGTCTTTATCCATCATAATTTATATTTGGTATTATTGATGCTTTGGGAAAATATGTAGGATATAAATGATAAGTATAAAGTTGAAGACGTCAGGTACAGTGGAAAGACAGTAAAACCCCCCACGATGCCTGAGAATGAGGGTCCCAAACCTTCAAGAGAGACAGGAGGGTGTCTGCCCCTCGGCGTTCTGCTGTACCCTTATCTGTTCTGATTGAGTTCTATTTTCTTTCAGTGATTCTTCATATTGACTATTAAGATCACTTGGAACTTTTATTCCATTTTCCATTTTGTGCATTATCTATAGATACAAGATCATTAGTTCCCATTCAAAGCCACAAGAAATTCATGAAGAAATGCTAATGTAGCCAGGCATGGTGGCTCACCCCTGTGATCCCAGTGGCTCAGGAGGCTGAGGCAGGAGGATCACACGTTCAAAACCAGCCTCAGCGATTTAGTAAGACCCTGTCTCAGAATAAAAAAAATAAAAAGGGATGGCTCAGTGGTTAAATGCCTCTGGGTTCAATCCTTGGTATTAAAGAAAGAAAAGAAGGGAGGGAGGGAGGGAAGGCTACTTTGTTTCTATCGCCTAATCTGATCACCTGCAAAAGAAACAATCACAGGTAGAAAGAGTAAGTCAAAGAATTCCTGGTTTTAGCCACCAGGGTACCTGGAATGAACATGGAAAGAAAGAGCTGGAAGCTTTCCATCCCTGGGCTTCCTTGATGTCAGACCTAGATCATTTCTTTATAAAAAATATTTGAAATGATCCCTTATAGAATGTTGAAATGAAATTTATAGCTATACCATAAACTACCTACATACATCATTTTAAAGAAGTTAATATAATGTCCTAACTGGGGATATAAAAAGAAAGAAATAGAAGGGAACGTAATAATGAATTAATATGTATTTCTACATGTGAACTCTGGGCCACTGCTACTCTAGAAGAAAAAAGGAGTGAGTAGGATAATCTTGCCTAACTTATTATAGAAAATCAGTTTGTATTTAAGAGAAGTAGTAATATGCAACTGGCTCTTCTCAAACTTTTTTTTTCTTGCACTTGACATTTTGAAATGAAGGGCAAATAAATATGCAGAAACACATAAACACAGTCACTGTGAAGGCACTCAGGTGGAGACCGAGTAGGGTGTTGGTCCTGATTCCCCGGGGAAGCCACGCAATTGTGAGGGGATTTTCTGAAATGGTGAATGACACTTTTCAAAGTGTTTGTTGGAATGTAAAAGTTGGGTTCTGAGATCATTTGAGGAAGGTTCTCACCTTCAGGGACACCCCTACAGCTGTGTGGATACTGGCTGGTTCTGTGTGCTGCAGGACTCTACCTGCTGGGGGTATGAGTGGCCCCATCATTGTGAATACCACCTAGGCCTGCAAGTTTACACCATGCTCTCTAGGGACAGCTGTCCCCATTAAGAACCACTGCTCTTCTATAGATAAAATGCAGTTGCTTTACTCCCCCCATTTCTATCCCCTCTCTTCCCCTCTCCCTCTCCCACCATTCATCTTTCAAAATGCTTGCTAGCAGGAGGGATGGACAATAAGCAAAAACAAAACAAAACAAAAAAACCCAAACAGCTAGAAAATTAAGTATTTATGATAATAGCTTTGATGGGGAAACACAAGGTCATTTTCGAGAGAGAGTAGAGGAGTTATTTCAAATAGTGAGTGTGAGGGAAAGCTCTGTGGGGAAATGTTGATGTGAGATCCAGCCATTCCAAGAGCAGAGAGGAGATTCATGTAGAGGAAGCAGCTTATGCAAAGGCCCTGAGGTCAGGAAGAGTTCAGAATGACAGATGAGAAGCCCATATGCCTGGAACCCCTAGGACCATGGTGCTATATGCTCTCTCATCCTTGAATGTAAGACTTCTTCACATCTCTTCATTGCTTTATTTAGATTTTTGTTTGGAGAATGGAAAGACTATGGAAGGCAATCCTCAGGGTTATACAAAATGACATATAAGAGGAAAGGAGGGGTAAGACAAGATAATACAAATGGAAGAAATGATTTACAGTAGAAGGGGTAGAGAGAGAAAAGGGGAGGGGAGGGGAGGGGAGGGAGGATAGTAGAGAATAGGACAGACAGCAGAATACATCAGACACTAGAAAGGCAATATGTCAATCAATGGAAGGGTAACTGATGTGATACAGCAATCTGTATACGGGGTAAAATTGGGAGTTCATAACCCACTTGAATCAAACYGTGTAATATGATGTATTAAGAACTATGTAATGTTTTGAACGACCAATAATAAAATAAAAAAAAAGAAATAAGCCAATCCCAAAAAATCCAAAGGCCAAATGTTTTCTCTGATATGTGGATGCTGATCCATAATGAGTGTGGGGAGGGAGCATGGGAGAAATGGAGGAACTTTGCCCCTTTGGATAGGGCAAAGGGAAAGGGAGTGGGTATGGGGGTCAGAAAGATGGTGGAATGAGATGGACATCMTTACCCTAAGTATATGTATGAAGACATGAATGGTGTGATTCTACTTTGTGAACAACCAAAGACATGAAAAATTGTGCTCTATATGTGTACTATGAATTGAAATCCATTCTGCTGTCCTATATAACAAATTAGGACAAATAAATAAATTATTTTTTAAAAGATCATCAAAAAAAAAGAAAAAAGAAATAATAGAGGAAAGAAAGGAGTCTCCGAATGGAGGAGTGGATAAGCTTGGGAGGAGGAGCCTACAGAATTTGCAGATGAACTGATGTGGGGTGATATTTAAGAGAAGGAGGGTGATTCTGTTGATGTCTTCCTGTGTCTCTGGGTGGAAATAATATGGTCATTTGCAGAGATGGCAGGAAAATTAAGAGTGATGATAAATATTCTCACCAAGTTTCTCCCAATAACCATTAAATGCCTCATTTTGATATTTTGGGATGCCCAGGAGCGAAGGCCTGCTTCTGATCTACTATATTTTTCGTGCCATAGATTCACAGGTTCTTTAGAAACTCCACCACAAATTATTCCCAGCAGAAAGCAAAACCCCATTCGAATGGGGTTCAGTGCCCACTGTAGCTCCATGACTATTCTGGCCTTAATCTATTTTAAAGTCAAAACTGTTGCCCCTGATGGTATTGTGTGGGATTTCTGCTTTTTATAAACTTTGCTTCCTTCCTATTTATTTATTTTATTTTCCCCTTCATTTTTCTTGCCCTCTGAGTGCATAACTCTTTGCAGATGTATTAGTCAGCTTTTCATCATGGTGACAAATTACCTGAGTAAACAACTTATAGAGAGGAAAGGTTTATTTTGACTCAGTTTCAGAGAATTTAATCCATGATCTCTTGGCCCTGTCTCTCTGGATATGTGGTAGCATCATGGCAGGGAGTACAGGACAGAGGAGGCTGCTCACCTCCTGATGGTCAGGAAGCAACTGGGAGTCAGAAGAAGGGCCCAGGGTCCCACAATCCCTTTCAAGGGCATGCCCCCACAATGACCTAACTTTCTCCCTCTAGGCTCTACTTCTTAAAGGTCCCATTACCTCCCAATTGCACCACAGGCTGATAACCAAGTGTTTCACACTTCCAAACCACAGCACCCTCCATCACAGGGCTTTTGTTACACTGAGAGCAAATTGAATATGTTCCAGGCACCAAAGAAGGAGGAGGCTTGTGAATCTCCTCTGTACTTCTCATCATACCCAGCACAAGAGGCGGAACATAAACCAGACACATTACTGAGCACTTTTACTGATGCTGCCCAGGCTAAGCAAACACTCAACCCGATGGCTGGAGAACTCCTCCAGTGGACTTAAGCAACTGGATTGGGTTTTATGAATTATTGGACAGTCACAAATGCTAAGCATGCAGTAGGTGCTTAATAATTTTTATTGAACTGACCAGATCTGACTCTTTGCAGAGATGACATAAAGTAACTGTGTTTGTCTGCTTTTCACCCCGTGACCAAAATATCTGACAAGAACCACTTACAGGAGGGAAAGTTTTATTTTGGCTCATGGTTTCAGAGATTTATTCCGTGGTGACCTGACTCTGTTGCTCTGGGTGCAAATAGAGGCAGCACATCATGGCAAAAGACTGTGGCAGAGGGAAACTGTTCAGGATGTGGGGACCAGGAAGCAGAGAGAGGGAAAGAGGGGAAGATGAACTTTTCTAGGCATACCCTCAGTGACCCACCTCCTCCAGCCACATCCCACCTGCCTACAGCTACCACCCAGTCAGTCCATGCACACTAGGATGGACCTATTTGGTCACAAGCTCCCAAAGTTGAATCATTTCACCTCTGAATATTAACCCAGGAGCTTTGGAAGGACACCTCATACCCAAACCATGACATGCCCAATGTCTGTATGAGATGTGCTGTGCATGGAATCAGCTCAGGTCATGAGACGGGCTAGAAGGCAGGACAGGTCCGGATGGAAAGATGAGTGGATTTATTTTCCATCCATCAGCTGAGCCTTTTGTGGGCTAGAAATGGACTCCCTGGCTGAGGCAAACAACTTTTCTCCAACTTCCCTCAGCACATCTTGAATGAATGAATGAAAAAATGAATGAACTGTTATCAAAAAGACCAGGTGAAGTTTGTTTCTGTTCCTTTGTTTTGTGACGTTGGGGGGTCTAACTCAGGGTTTTGCACCTGCCAGACAAGCGTGGCCCCCTCTGAGCGACATCCCAACCTAAGTGAATGCCTAGAATAGTGCCTAGTGTGGAGGAAGGGCAATATTAAGTGTCTGATAGAAAGATAAAGAGAACAGCTTCATCCACAGCAGGCGGTATCAACCAGGGACACATTCTGGCATCACACGAAGAAAGGGGTCCACGGGAGCAGGCACATCTTAGAGGAGACCCCCCAAGTTCTGAGGATCTACGTACAGCGCCTCAAGCTGAGATGCTGTGTTTTAATTCTCCTTTTTCCCCATAGGATCATGGCAGATCACCTTGACCTTCTCTTAGGAGTGTTGCTCATGGTGAGTCCTGTGTTGGGAATCCCTTCCTGCTCCTCTGATGGTCGGACAGCCTTATTTCGTTTCTGCAATCTCACCGAGATCCCCCCGGTCCTCAACACCACAGAGAAGCTCCTGCTAAGCTTCAACTACATCAGGACAGTCACTGCCACGTCCTTCCCCCTCCTAGAGCAGCTCCTACTGCTAGAGATGGGGAGCCAGTTTACTCCCTTGTCTATCGACAAAGAGGCCTTCAGAAACCTGCCCAATCTTCGGATCTTGGATCTGGGTAAAAGTCAGATCGACTTCTTGCATCCAGATGCTTTCCAGGGACTGTTCCATCTCTTTGAACTGAGACTGTTTGCCTGTGGTCTCTCTGATGTGGTACTACGAGATGGTTATTTCAGAAATTTAACTTCTTTAATTCGCTTAGACCTGTCCTCTAATCAAATTGGGAGCCTTTACCTTCATCCTTCGTTTCAGGAGCTGAATTCCTTAAAGTCCATAGATTTTTCCTTCAATCAGATATCCATCTTATGTGAAGAGGAGCTCAAGCCACTCCAAGGGAAAATGCTGTCTCTTTTCAAACTCAGATCAACTCACCTGTACATCAGAGTCTCTGTGGACTGGGAGAAATGCCTGAACCCATTCAGAAATATACGGCTAGAAACCCTTGATGTTTCTAGTAACGGCTGGACTGTGGCTATCACGGGAAACTTCAGCAACGCCATCAGGGGAAGCCAGATTTCCTCTTTGATTCTCACCTACCATATTATGGGTTCTGGGTTTGGCTTCCAAAACCTCAAAGACCCTGACGAGAACATATTTACTGGCCTGGAGAGAAGCTCAGTAGAACGCCTGGATCTGTCCCACGGGTACATCTTCTCCTTGAACCCCCGACTCTTTAAGACACTCAAGGACTTGAAAGTTCTGAATCTTTCCCACAACAAGATAAACAGGATTGCGGAGAAAGCCTTTTACGGACTTGAGAACCTCCAAATACTCAATATATCGTATAACCTTCTGGGGGAACTTTATAATTCCAACTTCGAGGGGCTAYGTAGCGTGGCCTACATTGATCTCCAAAAGAATCACATTGGAATAATTCAGGACCAGACCTTCAGATTCCTAAAAGAACTGCATACCTTAGATCTCAGGGACAACGCTCTTAAAACMATTTCTTTTATTCCAGACTTACTTACCGTCTTCTTAGGTGGCAACAAACTGGTGACTTTGCCCAACGTTAACTTTAAAGCCAACTTCATCCACTTATCAGAGAACAAGCTAGAAAATCTGGCTGACCTCTACGAACTTCTCCGGGTATCTCAGCTCCAAACTCTCATTTTAAATCAAAATCGCTTTTCCTCTTGCAGCCCAAGCCACGCCCCTTCGGGGAATCGCAACTTAAAATACCTTTTCCTTGGAGAAAATATGTTGCAACTTGTCTGGGAAACTGGGTTCTGCTGGGATGTTTTTAAGGGGCTCTCCCAACTCCAGGTTCTGTATCTGAATAATAACTATCTTAATTTCCTTCCCCCTGGAGTATTTAGTGATCTGACGGCATTGAGGGGACTGAGCCTCAGCTCCAACAGGCTGACGGTTCTCCCTCCTGGCAGTTTACCTGCTAATTTAGAGATCCTGGATATATCCAGAAACCATCTCCTGTCTCCTGATCCTGGTTTATTTGCATCCCTTAGCATGTTGGACATAACTCATAACGAGTTCATCTGTGAGTGTGAACTCCGCACCTTTATCAGTTGGCTCAATCAAACCAACGTCACTCTATTGGGATCTCCTGCAGACATCAACTGCATGTATCCTAACTCGCTCTTAGGCGTTTCCCTCTACTCCGTTTCCATGGAAGACTGTGATGAAGAGGAAGTCTTCAAGTCCCTAAAGTTTTCTCTTTACATCTTATTCATTGTCACTTTGACTCTGTTCCTCATGAGTGTTCTCATAGTCGCAAAGTTCCGGGGATTTTGTTTCATCTGTTATAAGACAGCCCAGAGATCGCTGTTCCATGACCGTCCGCAGAGAAGAGAATCTGATAGGTACAGATACGATGCCTATTTATGCTTCAGTAGCAAAGACTTTGAGTGGGTACAGAATGCTTTGCTTAAACACCTGGACACTCAGTACAGTGACCGAAATAGATTTCACCTGTGCTTTGAAGAAAGAGACTTCGTCCCCGGGGAAAACCACATCACCAACATCCAAGCTGCCATCTGGAGCAGCCGGAAGATCGTCTGTCTTGTGAGCAGACACTTCCTTAGGGACGGGTGGTGCCTGGAAGCCTTCAGTTACGCCCAGAGCAGGTGCCTCTCTGACCTCAGCAGTGTCCTTATCATGGTGGTGGTTGGGTCCCTGTCCCAGTACCAGTTGATGAAACACCAGTCAATCAGAGGATTCATACAGAAGCAGCAGTACTTGAGGTGGCCAGAAGATCTCCAAGATGTGGGCTGGTTTCTCAATAAACTCTCTCAGTGCATCCTAAAGAAAGAAAAAGGAAAGAAAGAAGACAGTCGCATTCAGTTGCGATCGATAGCAACYGTCTCCTAGTCCAAAGAGCAGCTTGCAATTCACCCCAGGCCACGAGGAACGCTTGACTCTGTATTTGCACAAAGTGACCATTTGGGGGCTCTTTCTGGAGGTCTTGTTCCTACCATAAAAACATCAGTCTCTTGGCTTTCATGTCAACACGATGTTTGTCTCACTGACCTCCAAGTGGAAAATAATATCTGGAAAATTGCAACTGTCCCTAGAGGTTCCCACTCGCCATTGATTTCCTTTCAGACCCCATAATACTGTTCTCTCCTGTTGTATGGACCACAGAATGTCCCCTAGTCATGGAAAGGGCACCTTGGGAAAAGTTACAGGTGGCTTCATGGTTTCGCAGTGTTCGGTTCAAGAATGGTCTGGTCTGTGATTCTGATAACTCTGTGTTCTGCAAAACAATACTAAGTAGAACTGAGACCTCTTTCCTTCTTTGGCTTTAGGAACATCAACAGTGCTGGATGCAGGTCACATTTTCATCTTGGGGATAAAAGGTGGTCCCAAGGAACCTTCAACTCCTCTGAGTCTAACCCTTGTGGACCATGCCATTTTGCATGTGACCCTTCTTTCAGCCTGATGCTCAGGACCGACCATGTTAGCACCAACCTACCTCTTGAACTTCCCTTCCTGCCAGTAACACCTCATTCATCAGCTCCGTAAGCTGTTGTAGGAAGAATATGGGCTTTATACACAGATCCTGGATCAAATTTTGATTCTGCTGCTTGTTAGTTGGGTCACTTTGAGTATGGTACACCCTTGCTGGGCCTGCTTTCTTGCCTGTGGACATCACAGTTACTAGGAAAATTATATTGGTCAAGAATGTCAGGACTTCTCAGATCTTTTCCTTGGTTTTCCTTATGGCCACAAGAGATGAAACACACTGAATGGCCTCTGGGGGCAGTTGCAGTGTCTTTGAATTTGTAATTTTTTCCCTAAAAGGAATCTACATGTATTATGCATTCTAATTCTTTTTTTTGCGTGTGTGTGTTTCTTAATATAGAAGCATGTTTCTACAAAAGCATTAATAAAATTTTTAGCCAAAGAACATGTGTCTTATTTACCTGTTAGCTTCACCTTCAGCCTCTTCCACGTCCCATATACTGTATGTTGTAGTMATGTCAATGACTGCAGCTCAAGGAGTACTCTTGGGCTTAGGACTCAGCACTCTCAAATGTCACTCCCTTCCCCTCACGGTGCATCGCAGTCCTCACCTCTTTCACACACGCATATAGACATACACACAGGCTGTTCTCATTCTGGTTTCTTTGGGACTCCTCTTATCCATGAGACGGAGCTCACTCTGCACCCAGTGATGGACTTGTCCTTATGAAAGCCATGAGCACCACACCCTGTCCTTCCTTTCTGGACTATTTTCCCAGGTCTTTCCATACATGTTCTTCAAAATCAAGGCCATGAAGCCTCTGGGCATCCCTCCAACCCAAAGTCCTCTCTCTTGTGAAAACTCCTAGCACCTTCCACTTCCTGCCTCTGAGAGCTGTGAGCCTGTCTGGCCACCTACCCCTCTGGACTACAAACCCTGTGACACGTCTTCCACGTCTCCCCGTCACTGGCCRTAACAGATCACATGTAGTTTCAGGCCTTCACAGGAGTCCCCCACCAGCACATCTTATCAGAGCGTCCTCCTCCACTGAATTTCTTCTCCCCACCTTGGTCCTTTGGTGAATTTCCTAGCCTCGCATGACTTCCCATTCATCCTGGCCCCATAGATTTCTGTCACTGAGATGTGACACTTTTGCCAATGTGTTTCATATGTGTGAGCTTGGCACTCAGGACTGGGAGATCCTGATGGCAGGACCTGGTCTTGTTCGTCTGTGTATCCCAGATCCAGGATGATGCCTGGGCCGTAGGATGTGCTTAATAAATACACGACATGTACTATGATGGCCACCCTTACGTCAGCACCTGCTGCTATCAGTCTGTGGGGAGAGGCCAGGAAGGGAGAGGCCATGAGAATTGGAAGTCCACGGAGGTGCTGAATGGCAGGGTGAAGCGAGAGGAGACCCCAGGCTGTAAATACCAACTCAACTCCCAAGCAGATGGGCTAAAATGGAGGGATAGAGAGGTGAGGAAGGGAAACAACCCACATAAATCTGCAGGGGATAAAGTCCTCTTGAATCTGGTTCTGAGAAATAYAGTAAAACAGAACCAAATCGCTGCTGCTAGAAACAGTTACAAAAACAAGTCAAAAGATTGGAGAAGGCCACACTGGGCCAACTCAGTCCTACCTATCACCTGTGCTCATCAACCATTATTCTATGCAAACTGCAGGAGCAGGGGCAGCCATGAGGCTGATAGGGGTCCTCATCTGCACCTCTTGTAAGGCAGGTCTCTTGGGGAAAGGAAGTTGCTAGTTTGGGGTGGGGAGTGGGGCTTGGGTGGGAGTAGTGCTATACCAGCGACCCTCTCCCTTGCTTTGGGTGACCATCACCAAAACCCAGACATGTAAAATTACAAATGCAAATGTATTCTTAGAACAGTAAGTTGGAACATAGATATGTCTTGGCATATGAAAAAGGTCTATCTCACAGCCTTTCCTAATCCTCATATTTAAGAACATAACTACCAGGTAATTTACCTAATGAAATATGTTCAACAAGCAAGCACCTTTTGTCACTTCTATACAGAGTTCCTAGGAGACCTGCTCACCATACATCCACGATTGAATTCAACATGCCCCTCCAGTTTATTCCAGATCTTCTGTTTGGCAAAGACCTAGAACTTTCTTCAATTCTTTTCATTTGTCATTTCTTCTTTTTGAGGCCATTTTCCCAAGTCTTTCTCACTCTGTAAGAGTTGCTACACATATGCCAAGAGGAAGGTCGAGCACAGCCGTGTTGAGAAGTGAGAGCCGTGGGGTCAGAGAGATCCTTCTTGCTGGGCAGTTGTTCCTCACTCACTTCACAGCCATTCAAAGTCAGGTCTCAGTAAACCTGAGATAAACCCCACTGTGCTGGTCAGATTCCTGTCATGATAGCAAATACCTGAGACAATCAACTTATAAAGAGAAAAGGTGTGTTTCCACTTGTAGTCTCTGAGGTTCCAGTCCATGGTCAGTCAGCCCCATGGCTTTGGGGCCTGTAGTAAGGCAGCACATCATGGCAGGGAGCATGTGATGGATCAAAGTTACTCACCTCATGGCTGGAAAGCAAAAAAAAATTAATAATAATAATGGAAGAAGAAGGGGCTGAGGTCCCCAGTCCCCTTGGTGAGCATACATCTAGTAACCTGAAGACTTCCCAGTAGGCCCTGCCTCTCAAAGCTTCCATCACCTCCCAAGAGCATCACTCTGGAAATATGGGAGGGAATCTCTGGGAACACTCAAGATCCAAACTATAGCATTTATTGTGCACAGTCTCTTGGAGTCATGCCAAAACAGTAGGAACTACTGCAGTGCAATCTAAGAATGCCCAGAGCTTGTCAGGTTTGAAATTGATACTATTTCTAGAAAATTTAGAATAGTGATTGGGGCTACTGAAAACTTCAAAGAGAATCTCCCTCACCACCCCAAATACAAGGGACTTTGAAAAGTCCTTGCCAATCACATGCACCTGCAATAAATAGTATTTCAAATAGTCTTAATATAAAGTAAAATGAATGTGACTTAAAGTTTTAAATCATGCAATGAAATAGCTCTATTAGGAGGATGAGACTGTGGTGTGCACACGTAAGATAGTTACATCTTCATCTACTGCAATAAGCAATCAATATAAAGTGTTCATAATGTTAAACCAAGAAATAACATTCGAAATGCATATTTTAAAACATGGAAATGACAGAAGAAAACACTAGATGGATTAATGGTGAATATCTGAGGGGTCCTGATTAGTTCTTCCACGGGGAACATCTAGAAAGGCTGAAGAAATTAATTTTTAGAATCTATTTAAAGGCATTGGAGAGCTGCAAAATAGTAACTAGAGCCAAGATCCAAGAGAAGAAAATCAAGAGAGATGGATCCATTAATTAGAAGAGAGCATCAATGAGTGAAAAGGCAAACCATAGCATGGGAGAAAATATTTGAAAACATTTATCTGAAAAGACTCATAATGCAAATATGAAAACATGTTTACAAGCCAATAAGGAAAAGACAGCAGAAAAGAAAACTGGGCAAGATATTGAAGATTTTACAAAAGAATATTCAATGCCCAACACACAAATGAAAAGATATTCAAGTTCATTTAGTCATCAGAGAAATGCAAATTAAAATTACATTACCAGGCCTGTAATCCCAGCCACTCAAGAGCCTGAGGCAGGATTGCACATTAAAGGCCAATCTGGCAACTTAAAAATAAAAATAAAATGAGCTGGAGATGTAGCTCCGTGGTGGAGCACCCCTAAGTTCAATTTCTAGTAATTAAGATAAAATAAAATGGCATATTGTCATACCACTACAAACCCACCAGACTGGCTAAAATTAAGGGGGCTGACAGTATCAAATAGTGGAAAAGACAAAGAACAATTGAAACTCTCTTGTGTTACTAGGAATTGGCACACTTTTGAAAACAGTTTGCATTATCTATGGAAGTTGAATTCACACATGTCCTATCATGCTGCAGTTTTACTCACAGATATATATGTACACACCAGGTATGTACACACCATTCGCATGTGCACCGAAAGACACGTAAAACATCTTAGAATCATTATATGTAGGAGCCAGCGTTGGAAACATCTCTTGTGTTCATTATCCATACAATGGATAAGTTGTGTAATTGAAAACTAGACAGAAATGAAAAACAATTAGGGCGAATTGTAAAARTATGAGTGCATCTCACAAAAATGTAAAGTCATAATGATGCATAATGATTATACACTGAGTACTTCGATTTTTAGAAACTTCAAAAAGGCAAAACCCATCTATGATAATGAAGATAATGGTCACCTTTGGAAAGTGCTGGAGGGGACTTGTGAGATACTGGTTATTTTCCATTTCTTGATGGAAAATAATATGAGTGATGGTCATTGGGTGTATGCACTTAGTGGTGTTGCATTTTATCT